TGGCCTTTCTATGAATTCGCCTCTGTCCTGTGATTCACGGACACTCATGACAGGATGGCGTAGCGTTAACGTGTCAAAATTGTACGTTACAGTATCCGAGTTCGATTCCCGCTGGGGGTGCGGATGTGCTCCAAGCAAGGTCGAAACTGCATTCCAACTTAAATGAGAATGCCCTTTCGAAAGCAAGACTAAGTAAAGTTAAATGACATCGTAAGGTCTATTTATATCATTGTGGAAAAATTCAACTCTCAGTCTTTCATCACTAGACTCGACATAGTGAGATTGTGACTCTAATTTACGAGTTATTCATAGTTTCTGAGATCCATTTGACATTTAGAACCTTTATTTTGCTTGAAAAGACGAGCTAAATGGATTTTTTAATTTTCTGAAGGAGATTTTCCAAGCTTTAAGACAAGACGCGTTATCGATTGCAATTCTGCCCATTTCTTACGGCCTAATTTTGCCAACTTAATGAGGTATCTCATGATTTGGTTGACTATTTCTGGTCTCATTGCTTTGTGTCTATTTGTAAAGCATAGTTTCACGCTCCGACGATGTCCGTCATGAGATAGGAAGGGTCAGCACGGATTCATCATGTTCACTGAATGTTGCGCTGGGAATTTATCTGCCAAAGTTTCTAAGCACGACTTTTAAGCAATTTCCCTTTGGCTTCCGTTGAGGTCAATTTGCACAGCCTTTCCACTCGCGTTTTCAAACAAAATGCATACATTAACGGATTCTTTGAAACTCGGCTCGAGGAGTCTTTTTTATACTCTTATTCTCATACAAGTTTATAAATGGTTCCCAGCTTACCTCATCTGGAAGTCTTCTCTTTTTATCAGGAAGAAGGTGGCTCTTGAACCTTGCATTTCCTGAGTTTAGTTTGCTTTTTCGTAACTAAGAGCTAGTTGTATTCATCATGAGTAGGCCTCGAGATTTAGAAATAGCCCATACTTTTAATTTCTAAAATAGATAAATCAAAAACTGTATAGGTGCCTAGCAGTTAATTTTAGTATTATCTAGACTTTAACAACAAGTGCATATCATCATTAAATTTATTATAACCAAAAAAATAAATTATTCTCATACCCACCCAAACGTAAGAAATATGCGCTGATTGTTTTTCCTTCTTTGCTTTTTGCTTTATTACCTAAATTGGCATTGTTTTGTATGCCTGAATTATAATATCTTGTTTTCCAAATGCTCATTTTATGCCATAATAGGTCGTCATCAAACTGTGCAGAATCCTGTTCTTTGGGCGCCTGATGAGGCCCGAGGCCGCCTGACACCGCCCAATTGTCTGGTAGGATCCTACTATTCACCTGACTTGATTGGACAATCACATATTTACACCAATTCGTCATCAATTGCAGTAAATGGAAACAGCTCGGCTCACTACTTGGGTTCCTTTTCCACGCCCAGCTCTTCGTCTATCTCAGTCGCCTCAGCAACGACACAGTCGTCACAGCCTCAGCCTCAGCAACATCCGTCACCTTTATTTTTTTCGTTTTATCGTTACACACCAGCTCACTACGAGGAAGTTGGGCGAGGCCTACTGGTCGCCGCACTTGACATGTTCGGTACTAACCCATGTCCTCGTATTCAGCCCGATCTTCTTTGGCAGGGCTTTTCTTGTATCTCAGACTGGCAATATTCACCGCTGGTGTCCGGCCTGATACCATCAACTAGAGGAGGTGAAAAGCGGCAGGCCTCGTTGCCACCATTTATAATGGCAAGTTTTCCCTCTGGACAGCAACCAACAAATATTCTACAGATGACACCAAGTGGGCGGCCCCCACCGATGCCGAGAAGCTCTAACTCCACCATTGCTGGGGCTCTACCGCCAACTCTGCAAGAGGCAACCAGTCTTTACGTGAGGCAAACAGTTCTAAAAGGGTTCTTTGTCATCTAGACGAGTAATAATTTCCTCAACTTAATTCATATTTTTGAAAGTGCTACACCACTTAATGTAAGATACAACGAACACTCAGTGATTACAAAAGATCATTAAGGACCGATTTTGGGTCAAGTGACCTTGTATGCAATAGGTTTTTTTTCGATCTCCTCTTCCATTGCTTTTATTCTATCGGGATTGTGAAGTAGACTCAGACGAGGCAGAACCGTAAGTCGAACAGAGCTAAGAACAGCCTTTTTAAACTCATTGTTGAATAAAATTTGATGTAAATTGATTCCTTAACTTCATCACATATACCC